CCCCCCCCCCCCCCCAGTGAGTGAAGTAGATGTTGCACGACTGGGACGGGGTATGCGCTTTGTTGCAAGGCGCAATTGAGGGTGGGCTTATAGTCCCCACAGATCCTTACTGACCCGTCTGGCTTAACTGGGGTGACTATTGGGGTCTCCCACCGGGCGTGGTCAATGGGTTGCAGAACCCCCTGCTTGACGAGCTTGTCAAGCTGCTCGTCTATTTTCCCCCGTAGTGCGAAAGGCACCCGCCTCGGCTTTAGGCGTATGGGGGCGATGTTTGGGTCTAGACTGAAGGAGATAGGGGGCCCTCGGTACTTGCCTAAAGTGCTGTCAAATACTTCTTGGAAGTCCTTAGCCAGCTGCTGCTCCCAGTCGGCTTCCTCAATGTGGTTTATTCCGGTGACCTCGATGCCCAGTGGTGCGAACCATTGGAGTCCTAGGAGGCTGGGTCGGTTCCGGTCCACGATTGTCAGGGGAAGTTTTGCGGTGCGGCCCTTGAAGGTCACCTCGAACTGTCCGGTCCCGATGACGGGGATTCGGTTCCCTTGGTAGCCCTTGACTATCAATTTTTGGTTCTCCAGCCCTGCCTTGTGGATGTTAGGCACCAGCCGCTTGATTTCTTTCCAGGCGATCATGGAGAGGTAGGATCCGGAGTCCACCTCCATTCGGCAGGGCTCGCCCTCGATGCTCACTTCCACATAGACCTTTCGGGTATCGTTGGTCTCGGCGTGGCCAATCGTGAATGTCTGGTGGGTTTCCTCCCTCTGTCGGTCTTCCCCGTTTCGTCGGCCCCGGCTGTCTCTGTTCCAGCGAGTGTCGGCTTGGCGCTCTCGGTGCCTGGAGGGTGTGTTGTCTCGCCTCCGGTTGCTCGGTTCTCGGCGTCGGGGGCTGTAAGTTTTCCTAAGCCGGCAGACTCGGGCGATGTGGCCCCTCTTATTGCAATGCCGGCATGTCGCGTCGAAAAAACGGCAGTCTGCTCGGTAGTGGTTTCCCCCGCATCCTGCGCACTGAGTCCCCGACTTACGACTTCGTTGGTCTCGTCGGTCTCGTCCTGCCTGGAGCCGATGGACGTCTTCTTCTTCTCCTTCGTCCGGGGTGTCCGAGGCGGAGTCCAGGTCGCCGTGGTGTGTGGTGGTTTCTCGGCGGCTTGCCTCGGGGTTGTCGGCGCGGTCCCCGTTCTCTGCCTTCCGCAGTCGGGCCGCTGATTTCTTGGTGGCTTCGGCTGCGGACGCTTCTGCCAGGGCGACATCGAGACTGATGTCGCCCTTTGCCATTAGGCGGCTCTTCAATGCCTGGTCCCGGAGACCTAGGACCACGCGGTCCCGGAGGATGTCGTCTAGTTCCTGGAACTCGCACATACCCCCGAGCAGCTATGAAGTCGTTGACGCTCTCGTCCTGCCGCTGGTTCCGCCGGTAGAATTCGTCTCGCCGGA